AGGGAGTGCAGTGAGGGCCTCGGGACAGCTGTGTTGGCCGCCCTCCCGCCCTTCCCCAGGCCGCTGGCCGGCCGTCTCAGTGGTTAGTCGGGCCAGGCCTGTAGATCATCCCAGCTTGAGCCTGTCGGAGTTGGAAACAGATAGCTGCCTTCCAAAAGAGATAGAAAAACCGCTCCGCCCAGAAACCAAGCAGGAGGTACCAGGGAAGGAGGTTCAGGCCAAGGCCACGGTAACCGTGAATAGAAGGAGGCAGAGTTTTCTTGAAGGCATCTCTGAGACCTTCATCAGAAGCTGAGCTTCTCAGATCTGAGGTCTGATGGGTGGAGTGGACCTCTTCCCTCCACCCCCTCCCAGCCCTCAGAGGCCTCCTTCCTGGGGGCTGCAGGACTCTGTCTGCTCTGTTGGTAAAAACCTTAAGGAGGACTTTGCAGAGATTCCCCCCACTCCTGCTCTGGGGAGTCTGCTGCCCAAGGGCCTCTGTTCAAACCCTGGCGTGGCCTATTCACCTGTACAGAATGTAGTGGATGGGGCTCAGTCACCTCAAATTTGATGCCGGATACCCCTTCTGGCTCTAAATTAGTATCTATCTTTTACTTGTTTTCCCCTTTCTCCCAAGCTGTTCATTCTCCAGCCCACCCCAACCTCCTTCCTCACTTCTATTCGGTTCAGTAAGGATCTGTCTTTAACAAAAAACAAACAGAAGCAATTATGGACGTTCTTTTTCTTAATCACCTCCCTTCCCCAATTATACCCCTTGTTATGATGTGAGCTCTATAAGAGCTGGGACTGTCTTTTCTGTTTGCATCCCCAGCCTTGAGTGTGCTGCTCTGTACATAGTAAGTGCTTAATAAATGTTTTTTTTACTGACTAGGTAAATCCTTGCCAGCACACTCATTACAAAGAATAAAAAAGTGTAGGAGAGAGCAGTTTTGCAAAACTCATCTGCACATTAACTGGGTCTGATCTTTTAGGTCAGGTCCCCCCGTGGTACAGAGAAGGGAGGGAGGGAGGGGCCTGCTCTTCTGGGAGGGGTGGGCTTGTTCGTCATAATCACCCAGCTTTCTATTTTTCTATTCTTTCTGTATCCATTGTCTTCATTGTCTCTTGCTTTCCTGGTTCTGCAGACTACTCTGGATCAGTCAATACAAGTCTTCCCACACTTCTCTGTATTTTTCATAGACGCCTCTTGCAGTGGCGTCTTCTTCCATGACGTTTGTGCACCGCCATCTGTTGAACTGTTCCCCAGTTGATTCACTTCTACTCAAAACTAGTATTTATTAAGTGTGGGCACTGGGCCATGCTCTGGGTTACAAAGACAAAAGCGGGGAGCTAGCCCTCCCCCCCAAGGAGTTTATGTTCGGTTGAATGTTCCTGTTGCTCCTAGGGTTTTCTGACAAACACATGTCAGCCTAGAATGGACAGGGTGGTCCTCTGCCATTAGCCAGGTGACGACCGTGGGTAAGGTGCTTGCTGTCCCTTGGCCTCAATTCTCTCATCCCATCTGCTGCCTCTTTTTGTACCCCTGGTGCTTAGTGCAGTGCGTGGCACACAGGAGGTGCTTAATAAATGCTTATCACCTGATTGTACAATCAAGACCCACGTGACCTTTTCAGGTCCCTTCTTGCCCAGCCCATGACATGAGGTGGCTTTGAGAGGCTGTGTATACTGTAAGCATGTTTTGTGATAAACCTGCAGTGATTTTTTTTTTTTTTTAACACTGCCTACTGTCTTCCCCCAAAGGGCTCTGATTCTCTCCACAGTGTGAGGCTGCCTTCTCTGGAGGTTGGAGGGCTAGCCTGGGAGGAATGCAGGTGATTTCTTTCGACATCAGTGGGCTGGTCAGAGGGGTCGTGGGGACCCACCGATGACCGGTTGTCATGGGCTGGTGCTTGAGGCTGTCGGCTGTCACTCCTGGATTTGGGGGGTGATGGGGACCCTGTCACTGGAGGGCACTGTCGCTTCCCCTCAAAAGGCCACAGTCTGCTCTAGTGGGCGGATGCTTACCCTCCCCTCTCATCCCATCTGGGCCGAGAGCCTCCATAAAATACTAGGAATGTAATAGCAGGCATTTCTCAGATATTTGCTGGTTGGTTGGTTGAATGCACAATATGCCACTGGCATTGGGCCCCGTGTCCCAAGCCTGCCCTGGGTATCTTTGAGGGTGAAATGTTCAGGGAGTGTTGGGGAAGGGGCTGAGCCAGCAGTGTGCCCACTGGAAGACCTTCTTGGGTTGTTTTTTGGTTCCTGTTACCTCCAAGGTCAAGTATAAACCCACCTGTTTGTTTCTAAAGCCCTTCTCAGCCTGGCCCCCTCCCACCTCACAGTGGTTAGACTGCTGGGCTTGGAGCTGGGAAGACCTAAGTTCAAATCCTGCCTCAGACACTTAGTAGCTGTATGACCACTTTAATCTCTGTCTGCCTTAGTTTCCTTATCTGTAAAATGGGGATAATAATAGCACTTACCTCCCAGGGACAATTGTAGCGTGATTAGCACAGTACCTGGCACACCATAAGCACTCTGTGGATGTAGGTGGCAGTAATAATAGTTCTGATGACGATGTTGATGATCACCAACATTTCTGTAGGCCGTTAAGAGTTCATGAAATGCTTTATAAATATCGTTCTGTTGGTTAGATCCTTAAGACGGCCCCACGAAGAAGACACCTGCAGATGTTGTCATGCCCATTTTGCGGATGAGAAAATGGAGGCTCGGCCTCCACCCTGGCTGAGTGTCCTCAGGCCACTGTGCTGAGCTTCATTTTTCCTCGTCCAACTGTGCCACCATTTGCCCATGTGACTTCTGGCAGGTCACCTCGCCCCTCTAGGCTGTAGTTTCTTCAGTTCCAAAATGAGGGACTTCCTGACTTAAGTCCCTTAACTTCTTAGAGCCTTAGTTTCCTAATCTGTAAAAGGGACAGAATTCATGCCCCATGATGTTGTTGCAGGGGAAGGAAAGCGCTTTGCAAACTTGGAAGCACTTTGTAAATGTGATTTATTCCACTGTTACCAGCACCTAGGCTTGGTATGATAATAAAACAGCCCACCCCAATGGGATTAGATATCTCTTGGCCATTGGGAGCATGATGGAGTGGAGAGTGTGCTGGACTGAGAGCCAGGAAGACCAGCCTTCAGATCCTGCCTCAGACACAGGCTGGGGCCCTGGGGAAGTCAGCAAGCGTCTATGGGCCTTGGTTTCCTCACCTGTAAAATGGAGTTGGGCTCCCTAGCCTCCAAGATCCTTCTCGGCTCTAAGCCTGTGTCAGCCGCCTTAAGTCCAGCCTTTTCACTTTCAGGTGCTCTTTACTGGGAGCCTAGCAGCAAAGGTGGATTAGGAGTGATTACTCCGTAATCCCAACCTGTACCTTTAGCCTTAATCTGGCTCCTTCTCCCCAGCTGGCTATGGGGTGTTGCCTGCTCACTGCCCAGCCCAGTCGGCATGGAGGAGCTTGGGTTCTGGTTGATCCTTCTGCAGGGCAAAACCTGCCACCCCCCACTGCCCAGGAAGGAGGGTCCTAGGATGGAAGCAGCCACTCAGTGTGATTCAGATTCTACAAGGGAGCAGGCAGCCCCATCTCCCTGGGTCCTGCCCCTTGTTCTCATTGGTGGCTTTAGCTGGACCCTCGACTGGCCGACCCTGGTTTTGGAGGGTAGGAAGTAGGGTATGTGATGTCATCATCAAATCAGCTAGTGTCTATTAAGAGACCACTGTGGACAAGGATTAAGGGGACAGAAATCTGAAAAACAAAATATCCCAACTCTCCAAGACTTTACATTCTAATGGGAGAGAAAGGTACCTAAAGAAATACTAACAGCATAAACATATGGGGCTGTGGATGGGTGGATGAATGGTTAGATAGATAGATAGATAGATAGATAGATAGATAGATAGATAGGAGATAGAGAGATGGACAGATGGTGGGAGATAGAAGGAAAGATAAATGGATGGACAGTAGGAGATAGAAGAAAAAATAGAAAAATAGAAGGAAAGGTGGATGGATGGATAGATGGATAGATAGATAGATAGTTAGTAGGCAGGTGGAGCAGGAAAGGCTTCCTGCAGAAAATGCTGCCAGAGCTGTGTCTTGAAGGAAGAGAAGGCTTCTGAGCAGTGGAGGTGAGGACAGTTGGGCTCTCGGCATGAGGGATGGCCAGTACAAAAGAGGTCCCAGGATGGGAAATGGAGATCAGGTCTGAGGAACAGAAAGACCAGTTTGGCTGCGTGTGGCATTTAAGGTCCTCCACCTATGCCTACCCCACCCCTCCACACATCATACAAGATACCCAATGCCACACTGAAGAGTCTGTTTGATGCTGGAGGGGAGGGAATAGCTAAGAGGTATGTGGACATGAAAGGTTTAACATATGTTATCTCATTTGGTCCTCAGGACAGCCTTGTGAATGTTGTAGACCCCACGGGCATCACTATCATGTAGGGCTTGGGACTAAATGACCCCTTCAATTCCTCTTGTTACTCCAAATTTCTGATTGTCCCCCATTTTACAGATGAGAAAACAGGCTCAGAGAGACAGTGACCCATCCAGAGCCGTAGAGTGTGGTCCTGAATCTCTCAAGCAGCCAGACTTGACCTGGGGTTCTTTCAGCCCTTTGCTTCTATGATCCTGGCTCCAAGTCATCGTGTTACTTTGCCTATAATATCAACCCTAATGGACACCGCAGTGTGAAAGGCTTACAAAGGACTTTTCTTGCCAGCAGCTCTGTGAGGTGTAGGGGTTTCAGGGACTAGAGATAAGGTTATTGCACCCCTGAGAGGTCGTGATTGCCCCCAGCCTGTCAGGAAGCTGCCAGAGCTGGGATTGGGCCCAGCCTGGGCCCTCTGGGTTCCCCGGGTCAGCAGACTTTCCAGTCCCTTGCTCGGCCTCCCACGTGTGATAAGACAACTGCCCTTGTACATCACAGCTCTGAGAGCATTCACCTGAGCGCCCGCAGACGCCAGGAGGGCTCTGGAGCATGGGTCAGTTCTGACAACTCTCTGCCCCGCAGGCTCCTGTCCCCTCGGCCCACCCTCTTAAACACCTCCTCGGATGCCAGGCCCAACCCTTCACCGCAGAAACCCCTGGACCTCAAACAGCTGAAGCAGAGAGCGGCCGCCATCCCCCCCATCGTAAGTATCTCCGAACCTTGAGGAAGCTCCTGGTTCTTGGGGCTTCTGTGAGGCCACATCTGCTCTCTTGCTGAGCAAGGAAAGAGCTTCCCGTCCCTTTCCTGGGCCTAGTTTCCTGTTCTTTAAGAAAATAAATAAGGCTGAAATGCTCCCTCTGAGCATGGCCCGCACAGCTTGGGGGTGGGTGGAGAAATGAAGGCGTGTAGTGAGACTTGGCTTCTGTCCCTCGTCCCCGTGTTTTCTGGAGAAATCCCTGTGGAAATGAGGCCAGGGAACAGATCTTTGGAGGTGGCTGATGAACCGGGCTGGGTGGAGGTGGGGGAGGAGAGAAAGCACGGGCGCTCTGGCCTAGTGTGCCTCCAGGATCCCCCGCAGCAAGGCCCCTCCTCGTCCCTAGATAGCGCCTCCTTCAGCCTGCCGCTTCTTGGTACCCTGAGCCCCTCGTGGCCCTCTCTGAGGGAGCGTCAGGTGTTTACATTCTCATGGGGGGAGATGCCCATCAGCTGGTGCATAGGAGGAACACGGAGGAAGGGGAAAGATGACAGCAGCCTACGAGGCCGCCTCTCCGTTGAGGACTGGCATTGCCGCGGGGGTCACTGCCAGCCTGTCGTAGCTGGAGCCCACTCACTGCGCCTGAGTCTGGGAGGAGAGCTCAAGCTAGAACTGCAGGGTCAGCTTCGGGGGGACCGCCACCCCGTTATCGATCAGAGACTGTTTGCTGAGTGCCTCCTGTGTGCCGTGTGCATCTGCCCCATTAGAATGTCGACTCCTGCGGGCAGGGGCTGGTTTTGCCTTCCCTTGTATTCCCAGGGCACAGAGCAGGTGCTTCGTGGTGACTGCCCGGTTGGTTTTCTGACCCCCGTGCTGGCTCTGTGTGCTGTTGACGGGGGTCCCTCTGGCTCAGGGCAGGCGGGGCAGCGGCCCCAGATGTATTCAGCTCTGACACCTGCGCAGAATCACCCCAGAAGTCAGCTCCTTGTCATTTGTACCTGGGCAGGAGTCAGTTAATTAACAAGCAGTTACTGAGAAGCTGTTATGTGCCAGGCACTCCGCTAGGCCTGGGGGTACGGAGATAAAAACAAAGTGGCCCCTGCCCGTAGGAAGCTTAGATTCTGTCCCTGCTCTCCAGAAATCCCTTCCAGCGCTCCTGAAGAGTCATCGCCCTGCCCTGCCTGAATACCTCCAGTGACAGGGAATTCACTCTTTGATACAATGCAACCTGTTCCATTTGAGGAGAGTCCTAATTGTTAGAAAGCGTTTCCTCCTGTTGGGTGATCATTTCCCAAGATGGCGCTCAGTGAGTATGCCTCGATGGACCGATAAGGAGAAGGTGAAACTAACAGAATTTTCCTTCTTGTTGGGGAAATGCACACGCACATTTGAGCACACCATCTAGGTAGAACGGGGGCGATATCTCACTCCGCCTACGCCATCGGGAGCCGCGGCCACAGTGAGGGAGCTCACCGTGTCTCGGCTGTCTCCCAGCAGGTCACCAAAGTCCACGACGCTCCCCGGGAGGAAGTGACCCCGGGAAAGCCAGCCCCTCCGTCTCAGCATCTTCTCCAGCCGGACGGTGAAGCGCCCCAGCCAAGCAGCAGCCCCCGGGGCCAGAGCAGGAGCCCCGCCGTGGTGGAGAAGGATGGTAAGCCTTGAATTGTACATCTTCCCTGATAGCGCCCGACTCGAGATGGGGCGAAGGGGGAGTGCGGCCAGGCCCTCCTTCCCTGTGCCCTAGCTGCCAGATGTGCTGGTATTTCTCTTTTCCTTGGCCCCCTTCCCTCAATTCAATTCAACAAGGAATTCTTGAGCTTCTCCTATGTGCTGGACCCTGGAGACCAAAAAGAGAGAGACCCTGCCCTCAGTGGGCTTACACTCCCCTGGGGGGAAGGGGGAGTATATTCACAAATAAGCAAATTAGAACTCCGTACGGGGTCAAGGCAGAGTAATTTTTTGGTGGGAATGGAATCCTTAACAACCAGGGGCAGAGTCGAGGAAGATGACAGCCCGGAGGTTGCCCCTGAGGATAGTAGGGACTGTCTTTGCCTGGGGTATACACACGTACGTGCCTCCTCTCATTGAAGGTGCGTGGTGCCTGACCCACACAGTAGGTGCATAATAAATGATTGATCAGTGAGGCAGGGGAGAGGGCAGAAGAACAAAGCAGTCACCGTCTTGGACCTTAGAATCAGGCTAGCTGTGGGCTCAGAGAAAGCTCTCAAGACTGCAGAGCTCCTGGGCAGGGTCGGGACAGCTAGCTCCCTGGCCCTGGAGTCAGGAGGACCTGCGTTCCAATCCCATCTCAGACACTTTGCTAGCTGTGTGACCCTGGGCAAGTCACCTGTTTGCCTCGGTTTCCTTGTTGGCAAAATGAACTGGGGAAGGAAATGGCAAACCATTTCAGTATCCTTGCCATCCGGCCTCAGAAACTTAAAAGCTGTGTGACCCTGGACAAGTCACTTCATCTTATTTGCTTTAGTTTCCTTATCTGTAAAATGAGCTGAGAAAGGGTCTTTGCCAAGAAAGCCCCCACCCGATGGGGTCGGAGAGTCAGACATGACTGAGGTGACTGAGCAGAGCACTGCCAGGATTGAGCCCCTGGTCACTCTCCGAGCCCAGGGAAGGTCACTGCTAGATCAGTGCCCTTGTTTCAGGCAGAGGTTGGAGAGTTCACTGCCCCTTGGCGTCACCAGCCCGGGTTCAAGGTAGGTGGTGTGATTCTCAGCTTACCTACAGACACTGTCAAATTGGCTGGGGCAGGTGACTGCCGCCTTCAGTCTGACTGTGCTTATCACGGGCTCCAGGAAATTGGGCCCGTGAACTTTTCCCTCCCCTATCACTCCTGGGGAAATCTTTCGACCTTTGTCTCTGAACCTCCATCTCCCCAGCTCAGCAGAGAGGGCCCGTCCTCTCCTGGCGGAATTCCCTACAGGAATCGTTGGGTTTGCTGCCTACCGGCCCTGCTACCCCCCTAGAAGCTCAGACAAAGCTGATCCCTGGGCTGCACCCATCGCATGGAGGATGAGTGAGCAGCAGAGACCCCCGGATGGGCAGCGGGGCCCTGTGGAACGTGCAATTGCCTGCTGCCTCCTTCCACTTCTGAAGCCAGACTGGTTTGTTCTGGGCCTAGCTTCTCGAAGAGGATTGGAGGATTAGCGTGAGGCGTGGCCAGGGTCTGTGCTGCTACCCTGGGGCCCTGAGCTCCTGCTTCTGGGATGGCCTCGGGAGGCGGCTTCGACAGCCAGCTCCCCACCGGCCCTCCGCCCCTCTCACCAGAAGACCTGTCCCTCTTTGCCATATTGCACATTTCCTGCAGTCTGCTGCTGGCCTTTCGCCGGCTGAGGATCGTGGCAGCATTCACGATGTAGCCCCGGGAAAGGGTTTGGCCGTCTGGGTGCTGGCCGAAAGACAGAGCACAAGGCTGTTTGCAGGTGGGGCCGGGACAGGCAGGTATGCCTGAAAGGGCCCAGTCGGTGCCAGATACCGGCTCTCTAATCTCGCCTGCCTGCATGGCTCTGAGGACGTGGGATCCAGGAGGAGTCTTCTCTGGCTGGACAAACTGGAGAGTGCTTGGCCTCGCGGGGAGATGTCGGGGAGAACCCCCCACTGCCAGCTGCAGCCGCTCCCCCAGGGCAGCTTCCTCATCTCAGACTCGCTCTCTCAGCGGTCTCCCTTCCAAGGATCTGTTGGTTCAGTGGCCTGCCTGTGTGGGCCCTCCGTCCTGCCAGCGAGTGGAGGATAAAGGGTCATCGCTGCCCCGCCCCACAGCCACCTTGTGCTGGGAGAGCTGGGGGCACTTCCGCAGAGACGCATCCGAGGGATAGCACTGCCCTGACCACTGCCACGGCACACCCACAGGCTAGTGGTAAAACGTATTCCAAGCTGAGGCAGAGGTCAGGGGAGTGACCCCTCCCAGGAACAGGCTGCTGCCTCCTTTTACCAAGTTATCCCCCCTGCCCCCGATCTGCTGCCCCACTTAATCTGTTGGGTCCGTCAGTTAGTCCATAAACCTATTAAATATGGCAGACACTGTGCTCGGCACTGGAGATGCACAGCAGTGCTGCCCTCCTGGAGTGCTTTAGGGGACCTGTGGCAAAGCCGCTGCTGTGGGCTAGAGGCTGCGCCTTGAGAGACAGTGGATGAGGCAGCATGGTGCAGGGGATGGGGAGCCAGGAGCCCTGGGTTTTAATCCTACCTTTGACTTTGCCCCCTCCAGGTATCTGGCTGTGCCTTCAGTTTTCTCATCTGTTTAAACAGGTAGCTTTCACTAAATCCTGTGGTTAAATGGAAAGAATGTTAGATTTGGGGTCAGGGACCTTTGTAACTCTTTGTCTGACTTTGGGCAAAGTGCGTCCTCTCTGGACCTCAGTCTCCTTACCTGGTAAAAGAAGGGGTTGGACTTGCTGACCATGAAGGCCCCTGGTTCAAGGTCTGTGACCCTAGGACTTGGGTTTGAATCTCACCCTATCGTTCACCACCTGTGTGGTCCTGAGCAAGTCTCTTTGTCTCTCATGGCCTCAGTTTCTTCATGTGTCAGGTGAGGACTCGACACTCTGAGGTCCCTTCCAGCTCTGCATCCCGGGTGCCCCCAATGGCCCCTAAAGCCCTATCCCTCTCTAAAGCTGTGTTCTGTCCTTTGAGGCTGTGCTTGGAGCTGCGTCAGAAGGCCAGGGCCCACACCCCAGGAGACCTAGCAACAAGATGTTTTTCAGAGAGGCAGTTGGCAGGAGGCATGGCTCTATGAACTTGGGTGTTTGGTGGTTTTTTGTTGTCGTCGTTGTTTTTTTTAGGCAATTGGGGTTAAGTGACTTGCCCAGGGTCACACAGCTAGTGTCAAGTGTTTAGTCTGAGGTCAGATTTGAACTCAGGTCCTCCTGACTTCAGGGCCAGTGCTCTATCCACTGCGCCACCTGGCTGCCCCTAAATTTGGGTGTTTTGAAAAAAGTATACAGACACACTGCGCTGCATCATAGGGCATATGCACAATTTTTCATGTATTGAAAGAGGGCCTTTTTTGTTAAAAAGACTCATAAAGACTGATCTCTAGAACCCAGTGACTGCGGCAGGGATGGGTTATCCGCGTAGGAAAACTGATCTCTGGACATGTTCTCAAAGCTGCAGGAAGGACCACCGCTGTTAGCCAGTGAGGGGACATGGATGCAGGAGCCAAATCCAGGCATGCTCTCTGTCTGTGCCTCAGTCTCCCCATTTATAAAAGGAGAGCGTTAGTTCTCAGGCGGAAGCACCCAAGTAGGAACTTTGGAGTCAGAAGTGAGGCAGCAGGTACTTGTAGACGGGATGGGTCCATTGTTTTTGTTTTTTTTTTTAAAGAAACTTTATTTTCCCACAATTAACAAAACTCTATTATCTCTCCTTCTCACCTCTCCCACCACTGATAAGAAAAAGAGAACCCTTAAACCGGCGTGCAGAGTCAGACAGATGGATCCCCCCATTGGCCGTCTGTGTCATTCTGCCGCCAGCATCCTTCACCTCCGCGTCCGGGGCAGTCGGTGCGCTCAGAGTGTGCAGAGAGCGGTCCCTCTCGACGAGGCCAGCTTTACCGTAGACGTTGTTCTGGGTTGGCTCATTGCACTCTTTGACCCAGGGAATCCTGATAGCGACAGTCTGGGCTGCCTTGCGGCCTGTGGCAGCTATCTCAGCTCCTTGGACTGCCTGAGGTGTGGTCCAGAAGGACTTTGCATCCCAGAGAGGCAGGCATTTTATCTGAGCCTGGCTGTTCCTCTGCTCTGGGGCCAGTGGGCGTGTGGGGCAATGAGTCCGTGGGCCCGGCCTAGCCCGCCCGCCCAGAATGGCATCTGCAGCAGCAAAACGTGCATCTGCGTTGAGCTTTATAATTTACTGAGCTCTTTGCTCGCTGGAAGATGACTAGTGTGAGTTTTTACGTTCCCATTTTACAGATGGGGAAACTAAGGCATTCAGAGATGAAGTCATTTGATTACATAGCATGATGTACCTGAGCGTGGTGTGACAGCTGGCTTTGTGGTCGGGCGCCTGATGTCAGATCCCTGCTCTGTCACTGACTGACTGTGCGACCCGCAAGTAGCTTTATTCCGCAGTCCTCGGTGATCTCAGCCGGAAATGAGGAACTCGGACCAGATAGATGCCCTCTGATGGTCCCTCAGCTTTGAATCTGTGATTCTGTGTTCAAGGCGCTAGTGGACTCAGCGGGCATCTAGTCTACCTTCCTCATGTGTGGGTGAGGGTACATTGTGACTTAGGGGCAGAACTGGGGCTGGAGGGAAGAGAGGGAGAGAAAGAAACAAAGAAAGGAAGGAGGGAGGGAGACTTCGGTTCTGTCCGTCATTCTGTCATTACAAAACGAGTCAGAAGCGCTCATTAAGCTCTCGTTGCTTGCCAGGCACGATGCCACGCACCAGGGAAACAAAGAAAGGGGCGGGGCGCAGTGTGTGAGTGATTGAGATTTGGGGCCAAGTCCCTTGGCCTGTCTGGCCTGTCTGTTGTTTTCTGGTCTATAACATGGCTTTGGCTAGGTGATTTCTGAGCTGTCCTCGGCTCTGACATGTACGCTCCAGAGAATCATAGGCTGCGTTCCCTCCGTGGGCAGTGTGTAGTAAGCACCTGCTGTGTACCAGAGCTGAGGTCTGGCCTGGGGGTGGATGCTGATACGTCGCAGGGTGCTGGAGTACAAAGATGAAAAGATGAAAGGCCAGAGGGAACGAACACAAGCATGATAAGGGGCCGCCACACCTGGCGTCTGGGCACTCTCTGGGCCCTGCATCTGAAGGGGGATGTTGTTGGCAGCCAGGAGAAAGCCTTGAGCGCGTGGTAGCCGAGGACCCCATTGAAGGCACTGGAGATGTGTGACCTGGAGGAGAGAAGGACTGGGGCAGAGGGATCAGCCAGGGGAGACTGGACGAGGCCAGCTGAGGCTGGACTCTGAGGAGAAGTCGCCTGATGATGAGAGGCCCCCACCGTCGGGGGGCTCCCCGCCACTGCAGACTGAAGACCCCTTGTCCAAAATGCCGTCGTGGGATTCCGTTTCCATCGTAGGCCTGCTGAGATCCTTCCAGCTCTGAAGTTCAGGGGAGACTGAGTCTGAAGGCCTGGGTTCAAATCCCAGCTTTGCCTTTTCCTGCCTGAACGACCTTGGGGAAGTCCCTGAACCATGACCCTGTTTCTCCTCAGTAAAATGAAGCCATTGACTTGGGGGCTGTCTGGGCCAGTTCCGGCTCTGACATCCTGTCCGGGATTTGGTTGCCAGCAGCTGTCCTCGGGGACATGTCACGAGGGGGCTTAGTTGTCCTTCCTGACGTCAGCCCTCGAGGTTTACGGTGGTCCTGGCTTCTCCGGGCAGGCTCCGATGGCTCTTGTCATTCATGAATCCATCCAGACCCTTCTGTTCCTGCTGGGACCCTCTGGGCGGAAAATGAGCAGCACAAATGAAAGCCAGGCTTCTCTGCCTCAGACTTAAATGCCCCGGCTTGGCTCTCAGGGAGGCCCTTCAGCGTCAGCCTGAGGCTAACGGGGGCGCATGCATGAGGGAGGGAGAGGCAAATGCCTTTGCAAGCTTTGCTACCCCGGTTTCCATCACCCCCACCCCATTACGCCACTGTCTCTTCCTCACTCTCCGTGCTGTGGTTCTGGTCTGTGAGGCCTCACTGGCTCCCGGCTCCCAGCTCGTTCCCCATGCCTGATACCCCACCCCAGAATCCCAAGTGTCCTTTCGGCCTTCCGTGAGGTCCCCCTTCTTCACGAGCCTTTTCCTGATCCCCCAGCCGCTAGTGCTCTCACCCACAACAGACTACCTTGTAGACCCGTGTGGACATGCCTCCTCCCCTGCTGACAGAGAAACCCCTTGAGGACAGGGTACGCCGGTGTCTAGCACCATGTCTGGTTACGTAGTAGGTGCCTAATTAATGTTAGCTAGGGGCTTATTGATTCCATATCCTGCCTTTACCTAGGCCCAGACTTCACGCTTCTTCTGGGAGGGGTTCACAGGCACAGAATGTGGAGTTGCAAGGGACCCCCAGGTCCGTCTAGTACAACCCATGTGGGAACAGGAACCTTTTTTCCCTGTGGAATCCTCAACAAGTATCCATCCATCCATCCATCCTTCCTTCCTTCCCTCCCTCCTTCCTCCTTTTCTCCCTCCCTCCCTCCCTCCCTCGTGCATGTACCTTTGGCCATGGTGATCCTTCCCAGTGGGAGACGCTTCAGATGCGTGTCACAGTGTCACAGCGGCACTGTGCCCTGGGTAAAGTCTGTGCAGCACTCCCTGTGGGCACCACTCCCACGCGTTCATTCCCTGGGCAGACGTGCCTTCCTGGCCATGTTAGGGGTGGAAAGGGGCTCTGGACCTGGCATCAAGGGAGCCCTGATCTCAAACCCAGCCTCCACCACTTAGTACCTGTGTAAGCTTGGGCGAGTCCTGTTCTCTCCTTGCCCCCAACTCTTCTGATCTCTCGGAGCCTCAGTTTTCTTATCTATATAGTGGGGCTCATAACAATGGCACCTGCCTGCCAGGGCTGGGGCTGGGCTGTAGGTGGCTTCTCAGGGCCCTTTCTGGCTCCAAATCTATGATCTAACGTGTAGCAAGGGATGGATGGAGGCTTCACGTCCTGCCTCTAACACTCACTGGCGGTAGGGCCATGACAGGCGGCATCTGCACCTCTGGGCCTCAGTTTCCTCCTCTGTAAAAGGCATCAGCCTCCCAGGATTCTGAGGACCAAACAAGGTCATCTTGGTAGAGCACATTGCATACCGTTGAGCTCCGTACAGATGCCCCTTAGCACAGATGTCTTGTGATCTGAACACGGTACCAGCTGTGTTCAGGGGCAGGGCGCAGGTCAGAGGAGGGAGGGGGGTCAGGGAAGCACCTTGTAAGCAGTGGGACTCAGGCTGGGCCGTGAAAGACGGCTCAGACCCCCCCCACCCCATCCAAGGCAAGGTGCCCACTTCCGAGGCCCTGACGGGATCGCGGGGGTCGGGCCGGGAGATGCTGGAGGTGGAGTGGGCGGGGCTGCAATAGGATGACACTTTTCTTAAGCTCGGGCTGGGGGAGGACCTAGACAGGACGGCTGTGGTTTCCTGAGGGCGGGGGCTGTGGGCTGGTGCTGGGGGAGCCCCAGAGAGAGGAGGGCCTGACAGGACCGTTTTGTTTCTTCCTGTAGAAAAGCCGGTGTATTTTTCCCCCTTCCCGGAGGGCCAGAAGCTGAGCGGGGAGCCTGCTCCGTGCTGGGCCCCAGGCCTGCCTTTCCCGGTGCCTTCTAGAGACTTGCTCAAGAGCTCCCCGCAGCTGGAACCCCCCACCTTCCAGTACACCCCACCGAGTAAGTAAGCCTGGTCCTGGGTGGGGTGAGCTTCTGCGCCAGGCTTCCTGCATCCCCTCTGGGGCCTACACAGCCTTCGTAGACTGAGGGGTGGGGCCCAGAGCTCCTCTGCCTGGCCCCCGGGAGGCAGGAGCAGGAGGGCCGAGAGTTCGTGGTCACAGACAGACTCGGGCTTCGCTGAAATGAGGGGAGATGCTAAACAGAGCTGCCCCAGCTGGAATGGCCTGCCTCAGGAGGGGCAGAGAGCGCCTCCCCGGAGGTCTGCAGCCCCCGATACTGCAGACGGCCTGGGGGGGCCATCCAGATCGGAGATGCCAGGCTTCTCCCGAACCTGGCCCAGCCTCCAAGGAGGGTCAAGGGAACAGAAACTCCCTGTGGGCAGAATTGTGTTGTGAGGCTCCAGCATCCTTCACAGTCCCTGGCACTGACTAGGATCACGGGCAGTGGTTAGATTGCCAGGCTTGCAGTCAGGAAGACCTGAGTTCAAATTTGGCCTCAGACACTCACTTGCTGTGTGACCCTGGGCAAGTCACTGTTTGCCTCAGTTTCCTCATTTGTAAAAGGCAGTGGATAGGCACAGTGGGCCCTTAAGCTTCCTTCCTGCTGTAGATCTGGAGATTCGATGAACACATCTAACTTATTTCACATCGTATCGCTGAACCTCCGTTTTCTCATCTGTAGAATGGAGCATTTATTAAGTGCTTGCTGTGTGCTAGGTGCTGGATCCACAGAGATCCAAACCAACAAACCGTTCTGTCCTCCCAGAGCTTATGTTCTATTGGGCAATGACCTCTGAAGGCCTCTTCCAGCCTTGTGGCTACCAAGGAGTGGGCATCCACCTAGCCTTTGCTTAAAGACCCGTGAGGGGGGAGGATGCGCTCCTGCACTCCTGGTCCCTCCCCCGGGAGCTGCCTGTGGGTACGAGAAGAGTCGCTGAGCCCCCACCCCCCCCAGCCTGTCACAGCCCCGTGGAACGTCCCCGCCTTTGATCCAGCCCTCTCATTTACCAGAGGCGGAAACCGAGGCCCCTCTAAGCAATCCGGGAGGGCTTTGTGGAAGAGGGGGCACTCTGCCCAGTTGATCCTGCTTCCAAGCACTCTGGAGTAACAAGGGCAAAGGTTCCCTCCGTGGCATCAGTGCGTGACCCAGCAGGCATGCAGGGGTGGGTGGGGGGAGGTTCAAGGCTGATGTTTCCCCTTTGGCCCGCAAGTCAAGACAAGCAAACGCCGATGAAGCAATTCCTGTGTGTTCAGCGTAAGTACCAAGGACTGACAATGCAGATACGAGCCTAGGTTCTCATGGGGATGACAGCACGTACCAGGGAGCTAGACGGGTGTGGGGCAGCGCAGTGAGCAGCTGGCCTGGGCGCTGCCTCCGGAGGGAGGCTCCAGCAGGAACCGGCTGGTGTGGGGGGCGCAGGGATGGTCCCCAGAGGGTCGGGGGGTTCCACGGCCGCTCCGTGTCAGTGTTGTTCCATGCAGCACCCGGCACGCAGTATGCGTCGGGTCAGTCAGCAGCCAGCCCTCCAGGCATGGGTCGTCATCCTCCAGTACAATCTGCGTGCACATCTCTCTCTTGTGTCCAGGTCACCCGATCTCTCTCAACCTGCATGACGGTGCCAGGTCCAGCCTGCAGAGGGTGCCCGGCATCTCCAACCCACCTCCTCTCATCTCTTCTACCAAGCACCCCGTTGTCCTGGAGAGGCCTGTGAGCTCTCAGGTGAGGCCCCAAGAGGACGCCAGGCTCGTTGGGTAGCCAGAGGCAGGGGCAGGAGAGCAGCTGACTCCCGGCCTGTTCTCTCTCTGTCTCTCTCTCTCTCTGTGTCTCTCTCTCTCTCTCTCTCTTTCTTTCTCTGTTTCTCTCTCTCTCTTCCTCTCTGTCTCTCTCTTTCTCTCCTCTCCCTTCTCGCTCTCTCTCTCTCTCTTCCTCCTCTCTCTCTCT